TCACACAACACTGTGGTAGCCACCATTAGAGACTGCTGTAGACATTTCACAGCTCACTGGAGGGAGAGAGAGCAATGATTTCCAAGTATTGATGCTACACACACAAACGCGGACACATAAACATCACTTTTTTTAAGCCCAATGACTTTTTCGGCCACAGAAACGTTCAAATATTGTGACAGTATTTAACCTTATATAAAGAAATTCTAACATTTAATCTGCGAGTCTCCTTCACAATGTCGTGTGTCAAATACTGTCAGTCACCTCTGGGCTCCGAGTGTGAAAGACGTACTTCATTCGTGGTAATTGCACACAGCTGAATAATCTAGCAGGGATGTGTTCTCCCTTCATTATTCATGCTTCCATTGATTACATTATAGTCCTTCTGTGGCCTTACCGGCTGTGCACTATAAGGGTTCAAATGAGTTTCTTCAGTATAAGGCCCACAGGAGCCATTAATAGATTCAACACTCAATGCTCAAAGCGCCATTGTCTCTTCTGATCTGAACCTGAGATCGCAGTTTATTTATGCCATTTAAATAGTTGCCATGGAAATGAGGTCACACTTTGTTTAGGACTGTTTTGATCTTAATACATTTAGAAGGCCGTGGGCCTCCTTGTCCATCAGCTAATTAATTAATCATGACTCAGAAAAATAGCCGGTGTTCCTACAGCAAGACGACTGCGGCTTCTTTCAGCACCGACACACTCCTCATAGTTTTATGGCATTGCTTCTTCTATTGTAATAAAATCAGCGTCAGGCTAACTTGTGTTATTAGCTGAGGTGTAATTTTCTACTTTATTATAGCTTTAAATTTGTAGACGGTTGTGCCTTTGTGCCCAGTGACAATGTGGTGAGTGCTTGGTATTATCTGCTACAGAGTATTGCTTTCTCACCCAGAGCTTGTTCCTGTGGCCTCAGGGCTCTGCAGTGCTCTACTGCCATCCATGGGCGTGCACAAATGCTGCCTTTTCTGTGGTTGGTGGGCATTTTCACCATTTGAACTGATTAAAAATGTCCTTTACAGAGCACACCCCAGGCAATGAGCAAATCAGGCATTTTTAGATGTATGTAAAGTGAAACACAGCAATTCTTGCTTGCAGAACAAGGAAACATTAAGCAGCTGCATTACACAGAAATATAAAGATGTTTGTAAAACTGTGTAATGCAAATTCCTGTTTAAGCATGAGGCTACAAAGTTAAATAAGGTATAGAGGAATGAGCAAAAATGAACAAATATGTTAATAGAAAGGATGCAAAATGCTGGTGATATTATAGTCATTGTGCTACAGAAACCATGTCAAAGAATGTTCTATGCAGGCAGAAGGGGAAAGTAATTTTAAAAAAGTGATAACTGAAGAAAACAAAGCAAAAAAGAAAAAATGGAGCTCATAGAAAATCCAGTGTAGCAGAGAAAATTTAGATGGCCAATTATTAAAGTGAGGCTGAAAAATGGATTGGCTGGGAAGATCAATCAAAATGTATTAACTGAATTCAGGTTAAATGACTAGCTCCTTCTAATGATGGTGTGTTCTCCCAGCAGACTCAGTGATCAGTCAGTCGATGGGCAGAGCCTTGAATTCCTTGAGTTATGACAGATTGGCCTCATCATACTTTCATTACGCTCATCCTTTCTTTTGTCCATCAGTCTGAAGGAGATGACATCTGACCTGCACTGTGTGAAGGGAATTTTAAAGAGTCCAGCAGCTCAATAGGAAACAAGATTTATCGACATTAAAATGACAACAAAGTAGTACTCGTGTAAGCTCACATCACTTATAATGAATATTTTCTTTTCTTTTCCCTTTTGTCCCATTTTTTCTAAATATTAGAAATGTTCAAATATGATTTATCCGTTTTAAAATCTGAACATAATCATGCAATTTGGTTTATTGTGACTATGAAAATGTCAATATTAACTTTTTACTAAGGAAAGCTGCTCTGCTTACGTCAAACAGCAAATTGTCTGAAAACTAACGAATATTTCATTTCAGTACTTTCCTTTTTTATATAAAAAAACAAATGACTGTTTAGGATTCTACTAAATGGTAACTCTAAAAATAAATTTTATTATTGCATTGACCTTGAGTAAATCAATTGATATAAGCACAACTCTAGACACTGTTAAAGGTCACTGATCAATAAGGAGCAGCAACCAGACTGAGTTTCTATGATCCAAGCCAACCAAGTTTGTTAAAACACAGATTCACATTTAAGGAAGGTTCCATCCATATTTAAATCTTTGCTGCCACCCAGTGAAATTAAAAGACTATTACTACATTCTTTTTATATGCTGGGTTAAGAAAAATAACTGAAGTCAAGCCTTGTAAACCAAAACACTCAATGGTTGTAATTTTTTAAAAAAATAAATAAATTTACTGTTTTTAATGTACAAATTCACAACTAGCCCCCGGTCTTCCCCAAACACACAGAGACACCTGAAATGTAGATTTAAATATAGTGCAGTAAAAACAGTATCAACCTATAGGTTTTCTTTCTGCTTTTGCTACTTTCTTTTTTAAAATCAAACTTAAATGTTTCAGATAATTACATCTTAGACCTAAATAACCTGAGTAAATCCAGATTTCACTTCTCATAGTCTGACGTATGTGAATTTAAATCTAATAGCTGGCCATGAGACCCTTGGCTGCAACATCTGCTGTGAAGCACATTCATGTTTATGAAATTGGCAGAATATTTAATCCAAAGCAACTTTCAAATAACAGCATAGGAATGCAGTTGAAAATCAAATAAAATTAAAATAAACTGCAAAGCAGGAAGACTACCAGTGAGGCTCTGTAACACTTTTGGCAATTTTCTTGAAATCTAGCAACATTTCTTGTTGATTTCTTAGAGTTCAACCAGCATGCTGGCATTGACAGAAGTGCAGAGGAGGTGGCAGTGGGAGATACTCTCTCTGAAGATCTGGGTTTTCAAGATTTTTGTGAGGATTGACAGTAACAATGCTGTCCTCGGGAACATTGACTCTTTAACCTGAGCTGAGCTTTAGATCCCAAACTGGTTCCTGAATATTTTTCCTTATGCAGTTTCTGGTAAACAGTGGAACTAATTGTTCCATCAGTTATGTTATAGTCTTGGTGTGATCCCAAGACTATCACTCCACTCCACTATATTTGACATATACTGAAATGCCATACAAGTTTTATGCCAGACAATAAGGCACGCACATACACACATTTCTTCTAAGTTTATTTGGACCACAACATGGCATGCTGCTTTTTAAAATCTTTAAGGCTACCTCTTCCTGTCAGACAGGTTCTGGTTAAGCTCATTTTTGAGCTTAACCGTTGAATTATCAATCAGACTGAGGTGCAATTAGTGATACTGAAATAAAAACTGGAGGTAATCACATATCATTCCGGATTTAACAAGGATTAGATTTAGATTTATACTTTGTCATTGACCAGGAAATCTTCAGTTGAAAAGAGTTCATATTTCCACAAATTGTCCTGGTCTGATATGAAATCTTGTCTGATGGTCTGAAAAACTATATGGGAAACGAAATGCAAATTTTCCCAATGGACAAATAGTTTTTCTTGGGATTGCACCACAGCGTATACAGAAAACAGGTTTAATTCAACAAATACCATCAAAAATGCTATAACTTTGCTGTTACAAGAACAGCTCACGGGAATTTGTGCAAATTGGCATGAATTTGACATTTTGTTGTGATTTTCAACACAATTATAACTCTTCTGTTCTCACTTGAAGTTCTATTATATTTTTTTACCATCTCTAAAGTGTTCCCCTTCAAGTTTTTTCCACAATATTTTTGTAAAGTCAGAGATATGTCTCTTGAAAAAGATTACTTCTCGCTCAACTAAAAGCAGTAGTTTTTATTTGCAATGCTGCCGATAACCACTGGGGGGCAGTGTTGAAGCAAAAATAGAAAGGCTTTCAGCGGGAGCAAGCAAGTGGAGCTGAAGTTTCCACTTTGAGCACCAAAACGTTTCTCTGCTCAGAGGAACCCATATCAGTCACTCCACAACCCTCTCTGCCCACCCATGACTGACAAAGTGAATAAATCAGCAGACCCCGCAGAAAGCCAGAGAATAAGCTGACCTGCTGCTTTTGTCTTAGCATTTTGTCATCATTATGTGCAAATGGCTAGGTAGCATAAAATGACACAGCCAGGGGAAAGATTCCTGTCCTATGATCTTAGTTAGGAAAAGACCTCAAGATATTTGAAACACACCTTTCCAACTTTTAAGTGTCAGTCTCAGAACTGTTATTTACCATATACCATATAAAGTATTCACATAATTTATAATGTGCCTGAACTGTATGTATACAGTTAAACGCAAGACCTGTGGAACTGGTTGTAACAAAGTCATGCTAGTTTTGTCTTTTGCCATAAAAAACTAAATTGGAAGTCAAAATACAGCGCATATATCCTTCTAAACCCTCGCATAAGTTTGGTTTTATGGTCGATTTTACACTTCAATCTGATTCCTTTTCATTGATAAAAAAAAAAGAAAATTCAAGATTCTTCAAGTACACTTTCATACTGTAAAAATCCTGACTTGTGAGTGAATAAGGCTATGTAATTTCCTCTTGACATAGCGGAGCAAGAGTGTAAAGTGAATGGGTAGAATATGATTATGGTTCAGGCAGTGACTGTGCCGACTGCAAGCTCGTCTAGACTGTCATGAAGCACAAAAGATAGATGAGCTGTCACAGGCAGCAGTAGGCAGAAGCACCTGGATCGCTCTCATTTTTTATACCATGCCAAGCCAGCTGTTCAACTTTCATATCTATCATGCTGTATCCTTCATTCTGTACAGACAGGGTAATTACACTGCAGGACAGTCTACTGTGAAAAGGATGGCACTTAGATGCCCTGGGCGCCCACATGTCACATAGCATAGAGAACAGATCAGCGCTCTGAAATCAGACTTTCTCCAATCTACAGACACGCATATGCAAGCATGCACGTACACACGCATGCACACGCACACACTAAGACGTGAGTCATAAAACAACAGCCAAATGTCAGAGAAAAAGAGAGGGAAGGGAAAGACTGGATACACACATGCAAACAGAGCAGAGGCTGATTGGGAGGGGATGAGATGGAGGGGCAGCCAATGCGCAGCTCTGCATCTTGAGGAAGAGAGAGGGAGGAGAGAGAGAAAGTGGGAGGGAAGCTGAGGCAGTCACTCTGAGAGGAAAGGCTCTCAATGTGATGGTGCTGGATGTGAACTGCTCTTCTCTGACCGGTGTCTACCTCATCCGTCTCAATGAGCCGGGATGTGTAAAAAAGATAGTAGTGCTTAACTTATTCTGAGGGATTTGCTGCCGTTTAACCTGGGCAGAGGCTGACTGGCTTGTTACCGTCCCCAAGCTGTTTGCAGCAGAGGTGGAGGGGAGGTGGGTTGACTGGATCTGAGGTCTAGGCTAGGGCAGGGCAGGGCTGGCTGTCAGGCTGTTTGTGCCGGGCCCCACAGGAAGAAAAAATGACTGTTCCCATGCTCAAGATCGGCGCGGTGCTCAGCACGATGGCCATGGTGACCAACTGGATGTCTCAGACTCTGCCTTCTCTTGTGGGACTCAATGGGACAACCGTCTCCAGAGGGGGCACTTCAGAAAGGATTGTTAGTGTGAGTACGATTTAAATTCCTTCATGCAGCTGCATATGCATGCACTGAGAAATTCAAAAAAGATATTGAGAAGATGATACAAATAAATGAGTGACACATCAAACAGAAAAAAAGTTAAAAAGAGACTATTGACTCGTATGTTCAACTGAAGGAAATTAAAGAAGGGTTTTAGAGGTGAACTTTCCAGATTGAGCTTAGATCAAGAGTCTGACTCAAAGAGGTTTGTCATTTAAAAGGTGAGACAGGATGCAGTTAGACGTAAAATGCTAGAGCATTGTTTCAACCAAGCGTCACCGATATAGAAATATTATGAGGTTGAATTCAGTTTGTACTTGTGAGCGATTTAGAATGCAACCATGTGGTAAATCATATGGCTATGCGGGGCTGATGGGAGGTTGAGAGCTCTCCTGACTGATGTTCAGGCTGATCCTGTGTGTCAGTCAGCTCCAGGGTGGGAAAGAGGGTGCCCATATTCAGGGGTTGGGTGGCAAAGACTTGAGACAATTTTACAGATTTGAATATGCTGCATTCCCTCACTTTGTACTTTGCCTCTTTTTAAATGCATCTGTGACTTACGAATAATTTAGGAACTTTCACAAATTTGATGGTATCTCAGGATTCTACTCACAGGTTTTGTATTCAAATGTCTAATTTTGCTAATTCAGGACTACAATATTCCAGTGCTCATCTGGTGTTATTGCATTTCCCTCTATGCTGAGTGAGTTTTTATGGTATCTTAGCCATTAGGCAAATGCCCAGATCCGTTGAAATGACAGAAATTGAACATCCCAAGAGGTGTATGACCATCTGGATATATGTCTATGCAGGCAATTGTGCATATTTGTAGAAGAGTGTGCGTGTGTGTGTGTTCAGATATATAATCTATCTCTCTGTGATGAGGCATTTGTGTCTCAAGGGTGAAAGTCCGTCTGTTTGATGAGATTTTTTTATTTTTTATTCAAACACCCATCTGCTACTTTTATATTTCCTTATTGAGCCGTGAAATATTAGGTGGAACGGTTTAATCCCCCAAAATCTGACATCTCCTTTCTATCTTTGGAAAACAAAAGTTAATCTCAGACATATTTGTTCTTAGTTGTAGACATAGCTCAGATGTTTGGTTTTTTTTTAGCAAAAAAAAAAAATCTTCCACAATCCTGCTAAGCCCACACCTTTTCCTGCAGCATCTTTATAGTTAAACTATCATCTCAGGTTGTTTTCTATGCACAATTTTCCGTATAGAATGCAAATAATGTTTGCTTTGCAACCAAGACTCAGAAGCCTTACCATTTGCATTTCAAAAGACATCAAATTAATTATCATACGTCATCACCAATGCCTATTTTTGCTTTGGAGGGTATCCACAACACAAGTAGAAGAATAAAATTACTCCTATGCAGTTCAAAGTTTCATTAACCCAAAAAAAGAGTCACAGCTATTTTTTTACAATTGAATTGTAAAATATTCCTGTGACTGAAAATGTATTGGCTTTGTGACGGGAAGATTCTGCCCTTATACACAATGGCAGTGTATGAAACATTAATTTAAAGAGTTGTTTCAAATTTCCATCACTATTAATGAGACATTTGGCTGGGATGATCTAAGAAGCAGGATGAATCACAAAATGTTTAGAGCTACAATCAAAGATAATCGGGCTGCTTTCTTGTGACGCTCTCTTCATGGCATGCTAGTGGCTGTTAGATGGCCACTCCCCACCCTGGCATACATGCTCGCGTCTTTCTGCAGTGTTCCTGCTAAGAGCTATTTTCAAAGTCTGCTTCACTTGTTTGCTGTGCCTGTGTTTTAACCAGCTGATTCAAGAACACAGCTGACTGATTATTTATTCGCCTTTCTGCAATGGCACTGAGAGCATCAAATGTCTGGATGCTCAGATGCACATTTGGATCGTCTAAATCCTCAGATTTATTCTGTTCTCTTCAGAGAACAGAAGAAAAAAAAGTTTCATTCATTAAGATAAAGACTATTTGAATTAACACTGCCCTATACAAGTAAGTAATTATCCACACTCACACCACCACAATTATGGTGGTGGTGGTAGTATGATGACCTTGGAACAATTTTCTGCTTCAGATTGTGAATAACCTGTTATAATTGATGGATCCATGAAGTCTGCTCTCCACTAGAAAATCTTGAATCAGAAGGCCCAGCAATTCGTCTATGTGACCTGATGCACATGCTTTGGGATAGGTTGGGATATGCAGCAAGCCAATGACCCAAAGTGACCAAAGCACGCTTTTGAATCACTGAAAAAAACAACAACAACAAAAAAACAAGAAACTAGCACAAAATGGAGGCGCTAGTCTAAGTTTGGAAATTAATTTGAACTTAAAATAGGCTCCTTGCCAGTTATTGCAAATGTTTGGTAGCAGTTATTGCCATCTACAGTGACTGAAGCAGTTATAAGGCTTAAGGGCCAATTACTTTTTTCAGTTCACTGGGTTCATTTGGCTAGCTTTTTCTCTTTAAATTAAACATTTATTTTAAGCTTATTTTTTAGCATCCAGCTTTTTTAAAGAAAAGTTGGATGTTTTTTTAATCTGATGATCTGAAACGTGGCTGACAAAAAATAAGAACAGAGTGATAGTGGGTACTTTTTCAGAATATCATATTAAATGATATTAAATGAAGTTTACACGTTGGAGTCAGAGGTAGGATCATGCCCCAAATCACACCTCTCATTTCCCAAGCAGCGTATTTACACTTAGTTCACTCATGCTTCAGGTTTTTGCTACTCCACCCTCCACCCTCCTTAGACCTATTTTTTCCTATACCTTGTTTCCCTGTTTTGGGCTTAAATGTTGCTACAAATATTGAATGAAGAAAAATATATTTTTGTTTGATCTCAGTCACCCAGCTTAAGAAATGTAGATTAAAGTTTTGCATCATTAAGGATCAACTGATACTCCAGACATATTCAGCAGAGAAGAAAGTTGGGTCTGACTGTGTTTACCTCTCAATTATAGTTTGTTTTGAAATAACTTCAGGAATGTGTGTGCAACGCAGTGATGAATAAATCACAGTTGTGCCATGGTTGGATCCCCAGAGCACTGCAACGAAAGATAGAGGAGCAGTACGTCTTTGTTTGTTGCTATCCAGGGTAAAATCTCTTTGAGACACAAGGTTGTGTCTCATGAACTCGGAGAAGGCAACAAATAATGGCAGTTTACAAAGAGCCAGGACTCTGAATCTGATTGGGGTCAGTCAGACAGTGTCTGTCTGGTGTTAAAGCTATAAACTTTATTACACCCACTGAGCAATCTCATTAAGCAGATAGTTAAGAGTGATCCTTGGCTATGGATTAAAGATTAAACACTGGCTAAAGTGGTTGAACTTTTACGTGTATGCTTTTCAGCCATGTATTTTTTTAAGTCCAGGTTCTGACAGATGTTTTTTTTTTTTATGTCTACTTATTGCGAAGTAGGTTTTAGAGCTAGAACATTGCTTAAAGCCATTGTGTATGATATCATTCTAAATCCATTGGCCATGTTAACTATGTGGAAACAACTAGGTTATTGGCAAAATTATATTATTTAATGATCAACATTTAACACCATTAAAACATTCTAAAATTAGCCATGAATATTATTGCTCTATTGAGCAGCCATTTATTAACCAGTTTACACAATATTGCAATCCATATTTACAGCAGTGACTGTAATTTAACAGTTTATTCAGTGTTTCATCACACAAACCTTCGCCTCTGTCTTCCAGTTCAGCAGAAGATGTGATAAAGCTGCCTTGTTCCCGTGTAACACCATAGCAGATGCCAAATGCTTTTCACTGGGACACCTGGCATCCTGGCGTCGAGCTTTAAAACACAGTGAAGTTGCTACGACTCTTTGGAAATTGCAGAGCAGTTGTGGGTGTCATTTTCTCCTACCTCTCCAACTCTGCTGCCAACTTAGGAAAACAAAACACTTGGTGGACTTGATGCCCAGCACTGCTGCCTTTCAGGTGTGATCTGGACTGGAACAAGTCAGATGCAGCAGATGGGAAGAAAGCAGGATGCCGTTCAGAGCGATGGCAGTCGCAGGATTGATGGAGTGGGTGTAAATGTAAGGCGGGCGGGGGCACAATGAGTTTATGAGTCATATTATTGACTTGCAACCACGCTGCGCTGATTGTGGTAATCGGTTTTCCTTGGAAGCAGAGGAGACTAGGGACTCTGAAGAGAGACTTCATTGAGTTTTATTTTAAAGGCTGGCAGCTGGCTGGTGCATTGAAGACTGACGTATTGTTTGCTTCAAGTGGGGCTGTGTATTTTCATGTTTATTTATATATAGTCAATTCAGCAGTGAGCTGCAAATTAGAAAAAATGTGATGTGATTGCTTGGCTGCAGCACAGACACAATTGAGCTGTGTGTGGCAAAGACAGACGAGTCAGCTTTGTTGCCAACAAGTGCTGAGAGAAGTTAATGCATCTGAAATGTGTAAAGAGTAAAAGACATAGAAGCTGCAAAGCATGGATAAAAAAATGTTGGCAATGAAAAATGGAAATGAAAGGAGTGAGATTACACACTTCAGTTAGTAGTTCTGAGTATCCTAGCCTTCAGAGTGTCTCTTTGATTCCTCTTGCATTCTCATTATTCCGGTCCCTCTCCATGCTGATCATCTGACCCAACACCCTTTTCCTAACAATGTCCCTCCTCTCTGGTGCAGCAATACTTCAGACATGATGCATTCAGTGTCACGGTCAGCTCTCTCTCATATCTCAGAACTTGGTTCCAACATTTGCCCCTTCAGCCTAGTGCTCATGAAAGTTATAATAGACTTGCCGTCATGCTCATAAAGTAAGGATCTGCAGATTTATGATCTCATTTAACTCTGGCTTTGCAGCAGCTAGCTCCTGAGTCGGTCTAATGAAATGCCAGAGGAAGTCTTTATTGCAAGTCGACAGCGATACCAGCGGCTTGAATGTCTAATTGGATAATCTCTCTGAACTTTTGTAGTCAGCTACAAAATAGGGATTTTTAAGTTTC